ATATAAAATAATAAAAATATAAATAAATAAATAACATATGTATATATAAAAAAAGTTTTAAAAATATAATAAAAGTAAATACCTATGTAAACAAACATTCTATGTAATTTTCATTACCTAGCATAACTCCTTCTTAGTGTTGGCATTTCATTCTCCGTCAGTGTAATTGATAAATTTAAGCAATATTAATGATAATGATAATAATCTTTGGACAATTTATATTTGACAAGCATTGAGCATTTAATTCTAGAAACTACGAGGTTCATTAAAATCTGATTGCACAGATAATAAAAATGAATTTCATCAATATCTATTAATTTTTAGTCCAATTTAACTAATTATTTCGATATTAAACAACAACCTTTTATACAAAGATTATTGGCTTGCAAAATTCTTCTTGCACGAATGAGATTTCCTCGAATATCTTTTTATTTATGAAAAAATCCCGATTGACTCGTTTGTCTGTCCTTACGTTATAAAATTTATACTTTATGAATGCTTAATATTTCAATTATTTCATTGCGTTCATAACTCGAAGATATTAATTCAATATCTTTTTTTTTATATTAGAGAGATATAATGAATTCTTCATAATTTCTGCAAAAATTACATTATTCAAAACACATATTTCAATACATTGTGAATTGTCGTAATACATGATACGATGTTGAAAACTTTAACTATTCGCTTTGCTACTTTACCATAGAGAGATTTATGCCATCCTATGCATGTTTAATTACACAAGTAGCAAAAGGTCTTTCGATAAGAATTAACACACCGCAAAATATAATTGATTAATAAGTATCTTTACAAATAGTCAAGGATTTTACATGGTTACTTGAGATATCTACGATTATATTCCATTCAAATTGCGACGTCATACAGTTTGATATATAGTTATGTTAATAAAACTAAGAATAATTTAATTAAAATTCCATAAAGTGTATTTCCGTCTCGATATGATACGTTAATTTATGTAGCCATTAAGTTAACAATCAATGATATAATAACGAGATATAAATTTAATCATGATATAATAATAGTGTACCTGTGTCTATCTTAAAGAGATGAGCAAATTTTTTCAAAGTTTTTATAAATCTTCCACGGTTGTCTTGTCTATAATATTTAATTCAGTATAATTTCCAGAGAATCTCTTACGCGCGTTAGAAGTATATAATCTCTCTCGCGGCTAAAAATATCTATCGTGGCGTCCTCGCAATATTATAACCGGAACTATTTTCTGAAATACTGTTATGTACGTGATAATTCGGACACTGCAGTTTCATATGAAATTTACATGTCCTACGATCGATAATAAAGTTCTCAAAATTTTGTATAATATAATATAACAATTTATAATTTTTATTATTCTTAAAATTTTCATTATATATATAATGTGGTGGCGCTGCGCGTACTCGCGGCGTCGATGTTAGAGTCGCCGCGAATACGGAGGATGTGACGACGTGACGACGACTGTCTGTCGGGCATTCGAGAAACGCTAAACTAAATATTCTTGCGAGATTCTTGCCGTAGTCTATTTACGATAAGATCATCCGGGAAGCAGCGGGCCCGTTTGATGGGGATGGTGCTTTTTTTCTTATTTATTTGTCAAAAATAATTACTTTTCTTAAAAAAAAAAAAAAAAATGATATATTTGAAATACTTATCATATTTTAAAGACATGTTTATTGTTTCAAAGACACTCCTCCGTATTTGCTCAATTTTGTAATGAAAATAGATGGAATTGTACTTTTACAGCTCGTAACTATTTGTACTATAATCATCTGTTGAAATGTTGAAGAGTATTAAAGGATAATGTGCAGATATCGAAAAGCAAGCTATACTTTCTTTTTTCTCTATTTCTTTCTCTTTTCTTTTCTTTTATTTTTTTTTTATTTTTTTCTTCTCTGTGAGTAACAAGTTGTTAGACATGAACATCTATTATCTCTTTTCAGAGAACAAACGTAAATCTGATGACAATTTGGAAAATTCCACAGCTAAGACTAAAAGAATGGAAACGAAGTTGCGTTGCACTGACTTGATTGTACTCGGTTTACCATGGAAAACTACCGAACAGAACTTGCGCGAGTATTTCGAAACGTTTGGTGAAGTTTTAATGGCTCAGGTGAGTCTTATCGTTTGTATTCGCATTTGCTGAAACATGCGCTTGGGCTTGAAGAATAACATGAAAGAATCCTGCATTTTGGCAGTATTAACATTTGTATTATCTGAAACTTACTAATCTGTTAGATAAGAGTAAATGTGATAACACTATACTCTTGAGGCTAATTAAGTAAAAAAGTAATAAAAGAATCTTTTTAAAACAATAAATTTTCTAATGGTTTTTTATTAATGAATAATTTTAATTTAAATATTTGTTTATAATTACATTTCTAATAGAATAAAAATAATTATCAAAAAAAGTGAA